TGTCTTTCTGCTCCACAATCACAGGCAGCAGATTCTTTTATCCAGAACACTCAAATCTATCCGTATTTAATTCTTGTAGCATGAGGATGTCAGGATCATAAATCAGCCTCCCCAGTACAGTGACAATTCCAGTAACCCACTCTAATGTGTTTTAATTCCTGACACTCCGCTATTTACCTGACTCTCTGGGCTCCTGCTCTTATTTCTATGCCTTCTTCTCTCTTCATTCCCTCATTTTCTCCTCTTTCCACTCTCTTGGTTGCTTGCTGAAGATGGTATTAAGCACAAAGCACGAACTCTGTATCTCTGGTGATGAATCTTTCTAGTTTCAGTTACAGGTTTAGGTTTAGACGACGGATCAACATCATGGCACAAGGGTAGTAACACATAAGTGCTCCATTCTACTTCTGACTCAAGCCAGAGTCTGAAGAATCTCAGCGCTGTGCATGAATTCTGTAGCTGTTAGGCTACTCTTTCTCTATTTCCAACTGCCAATGGATTTTTTTACATGCGCAATAATACACATGGGCATCCGATGTTACTACCCAGAGACCAGGGTGAATTACTAGAAGTCAACATGAAAAAATCCCAGCCTTCACCAGGGCTTGAACCTGGGACCTCTAGCACTCCAGCCGGACGCCATGCCTCGAGACCACACAGCCCCCTTTTCAGTTACAAAATCCATATACAAAAATTTCAGTTTGAGTACTTTATTTTCTAGCAGTAGCCAAGCAGTACCAGGTACTCTCTAATATAGTCTAGTAATTCTGATTTTTAGTGTTTGTTTTGTTTCATTACTCAAGTTTAAAGTTATAGGTTAACAAGTTCAGCCCCTTTGTTGTGTTATAGTTGAAAAATGTTTATAGTGCTATGACTAGAAGGCAGGGTTGGGTAACCTATATGGAGAAATTATCAAATACTCTGATCGAAATAGATTGAGGATATGGCTATTAAAACTGCTTATATGTGTGATGGCATGATCATCATTACACTTCTCTTTTTAACGGTACGCAATGGTTATGCAGTACTTGGCATGTGAGCAAGCCATTTGAGTTTGTGTGTTTAAGTCATCCCCTTGTTTAACCCGCACCCCTGTCTTATTCACCTCAGTCTCTAATTCTCATCATTGAGTTTGTGTCTTCCTTCATTTCTTTGACTCTTCATTTTCATTGCAAGCATATTATAGTACTATTATTATTATCTCTGCCTGTCTTAAAAATGGCTGTGGTGAAGTATGAATTCTGACCTTGTCACAACAACGAGCGACAGCGTCAAGAGCATCTCCAATGAAATGAAGATTACCTTATACAACACATTAAAAAAGAGCACATAGAACATCCTTAATCTCTCCCCAAAATCCTGACGAGGTAGCTGACAAAAGAGAAGAAGAAGAAACATCAGTTTCTTTTCATCCGCAGCTCAACTGCAAAAAGCCGCACAATGCAACAAAACATTTGAATTAACTAGGCCAGGGCCGTTAACTGGGTTTACTCAGTGGTCAACATATTGGAAAATGTGGATCTCTGCGGCTAAAGGACCAAGCCCCAGCATAGAAAGATCATTAATAGAATACAAATGGCAAGTGATCCGCATGTCCCTTACCAGGCCTCTGTGGACCAGATTTGGCATGCGGGCTGCCAGATGAAAAGTCCTGAACTAGGCCGTATAGGTGCAACCTACAGGAATGCTGATAAAGAATAGTGAGACATGGTCCCACTCTTTGTTTTAGGAACATCATGCTTGGGGCAGTTGGCAGGGAAATAGAAGGTAGCTGTAAACACTAAGATTGTAGGATGTCATCAAGACAATAGTAACAGATGTTTAGAACTTCAGCATTGTTTTAACTGCTAATTATTTACAGATCATAGCAAACCAGCTCCCAATATTTGCTGGATGCTTGTGGTTTTCACGTGGCAGTTTTATGTTAACTCTTCTTCTTCTTCATACGGTTCACTGGCTGTGAACTCGGATGGAAAGTTATGGTTGTTCATCCATTTCTGGATTTTAGTTTTGTTTTCAGAACTTGAATTTTGTGTGCACATCCATTTAACAGATCTGGCTTACTTTATGCAGACTGTTGGTTCCTCGCCTCTCAGGCAAATTCGCTCCGACTTTGGATAGAAAATTCCTAATTAGTAACCTTTACAACATTGCTTTTTAGGGGAGCAGGGTCAGTTCTTTTCCCCCCAAACGTGCGTAAAAATAATCCTTTAAAATAACCACAGCTAATGACTAGTGAAAACAGTGCAGGAAGAAGGTTCATTAGTGATAGAAAAACCTGGTAGTTTGTCATTAATTCTGAGCTTTACACTTGTGTGGCAAGAACATCTGTTGCAAATGTATGACATGAGTCAGCTTATGATTAATGGCCATATTAGAGCACTTTCATGTTTTTTTTTTTTTTTTTGCTGCTTTATCAGGGTGGTGTGCAAATCTGTTAGTGGTAGCTTTTAGTTACATTCATGAATGTGTTGTTTTCCACACAGATTTTAATTGCTGTTTATTACCTATTCCTTTTTTTAGTTTTTGTTAGATTTCTCCTCTTCTGTCTTTCACTTCCTCTTTCTCCCTGTGTTTGTTCTGTGGCCCCCATAGACCCACCACCCACTTAACAAACATGTCATGAAAGGCTACTTATTAGTCATTTTTCATTCAAAGTCACTGATCATCTGCCTGAAAGGGAAGGGATCAACGGTCAGCATACAAGTTAGACAGATCTGTAAAATGGATGTCCATGCAAAATTCAAGTACTTGGAACAAGACTATAGTCCAGCAATGGACGAGCAGAGCTTTCCGCAGAAGTTTCCAGCCTGTGAACATTAATAAGATAAAGAAGACTTCCTCAGTTGTTTTGTCATGGCATAGCAGTTTGGTTTTGTCTGCATACTTTTACGTTTTGCTACACTTATATTTTATATTCAAATAATTTGGTAATATTTATGTTTGTTCATGTGCAAAATTTGATATGTTTGTTGTAATGTGCATGTTTCTGGCTATACTGTAAATTTATATAATTGCTAGCTACTCTGCCTACTTAGCCAATGTTTTACTACAACCCATACAGATAATAACACCTTTTTTTTTGTCTTGTCCTTTGTTTTCTAGTCACAGTTTGGGTTGTATTTAGTACTCTATTAATACAGAGTTTGGTCATAATGCTTGGTTGTATTTGTGTGTCTTTTCCATCCCTCTGTTGAGCTTTGTAGTTATATTTTATTTTACACTTGATAACACCTTAACCTATTATTCATGTCATAAGAGGCGAATAAGAACAGCTAGTATGGGAGTTTGGGAGTGTTCTATGCCATAGAAAACTTTAGCTGTAAAATCTCATCAATACGGAATAAGTCTACAAATGATTTGAAAATTTTGACATGAGTTGGTTGAAAGACTCTGCTTTCCCATCCATCATATTATCTGTCCATTGACCTGTGTCTAAAAATTCCCTGTTGTCATACCTTTCTTCAGATCAACTTACCTTACATTGACCCCCGCCCCCTCCCCCAACAATTACTATTGCATTGTCCTGATATGGATTATCATCTGTCTTTGTGAGTTTGCTTCTTGAAGGCCAAGATATTGGTCTTCCAAGCAATTCTGTTGAATTGCTAGAATTTTTACCCTGTGCGTGTTCTGGGGCCCCATTTTCGGGGAAAACAAGAATAGACACACTGCCTGCCCAAAAAGCATGTCGTAGAAGTTGACTAATTAGGGGGCTTCCTTCTTAGTCGAGGTGCATATGCCTGAGCGGCAAGGAACAACCAGCTGCACATAAATAAACAAGTAAACCAAATGTACATGCAGAACTCAGGTCATGGCACAAAGCCAAAGTCCAAATAGACGAACAACCAAGACATTCCGTCGGAGCTTACAGCCACTGAACAAAGAAGAAGTTAGAATTTTCAGCAGGAAATTTGTGGCCTTTTTTTTTTCTTTCTTTCTGATCTTGTTATTCGGTATCCGTGTTTCACAGTTATATAGTAGAACGGACATTGTATGGTGTCCTAACATAACCAAAAGCCAATGACAACAATAATGTCCGTACGAGAAAAACTCCAGCCTATTTTCCATTACAAAAAGTTGCCATGCATTAGAAGACAATAAAACATCTGGAGGATAATTTAGAGAGTGAAGTTAAGAAAGGTGTGGAGGACATAGGTTGAACTGCATGCATTGGCAAGTTAGTTGAAGGCCATTAGGGCAGCAGAGAAAGAAGAATAATTTTCTGCAAAGTAAAGTTGTACCATCCTGAAGCTGACTGTGTAAACTCATGGAGTGTCAGTTTGTCTATAAGAATATGGATCTATAACAAATGTTTACTCCGCTAAAATATGTGGACATGGGACCTAAAAACTCCTACTGTCTGTATTTACCACTTTTGCTGTGATAGCAAGGGGGTCTTTGAGCCTAAGGATGTGCTAGTTCTGGCTGTCTGAGATCCCAGGGATCGGGGCTAGAACCAAGGAGCGCTTCGTAGGGTACACTCAGAAGGCGACCAACATTCAGCTCACTTGGACTGTTATGGACGCCAAATTACTTGCCGTTGTTTGCTCCGTTAGCTGCAAAGGGAGAAAACCTTGTGGTTAGTCATGTGATACACACAGCCTGTGCAGAGTAGTCTACGCTAGCCAAAATAGGCGTGTTTGAGCAGACATACTGTAGGGCTGAAATCCCTGGCAATAGGCTTCTCATATGGGGGTTGCAGGTTAGGATTTTATGGTTGCCCTCGACAGAACAAAAAAATCCCTAGCATTATCAAGGATTTTAACCTGGGTCTCCTGCATGAGAGTCCAGCATGTTTAACTGTTTGGCCTGGAAAAATTCATACGCCATCAGCTGTTGTTCAAGCACTGTACTAATCCATGCCTAAATTACTGTATTCTTCTTTGTCTCCTTGGAAGTGCAGAACAATTTATTGTATGTTTTCAGATCAGCCACAATAATGCCCAGAGACAAGATGACTACATCAACTGTAAACTTCTGTTTGTGACAGTATACACATGGCATTCAGCACCATCTTTAAGAAAGCCAGCAACTTATTTGGCCTAGGAGGATCAGAGTCCCTGAGGCCCCCTCCCTTGGATGGGGAGATAATCTATTGCAAGAACAATGTATGTGTGCACCCACCGGCCTCACTGCTGCTGGACACAGAACATCATCCAGGATACCTCACATTGCGAGCTCAGCAGAACCAGGTGTTTTTGTTGTTGTTAACTGTTTCTGTCCCAGAATGGTGTACTGATACCTGAGTGACAGAGTAATGACAGCAACAAAATCATAGGTACCAGTCGTCCCCATGTGGGATGCAATTTTTCATTATTTGAAGTCCCACCCTAGCTTTGGCCAGGGGGCCCTGAATATAGCTGGGCCATAAATATGGCCTAGCCATAGATATGGCTGAAATGGGTTTCTGGGACCTCTCCATGGGTGATCCTCATCTGCATGTTGGCACTTTGTGTCACCGGGTGTTTATCGCTTGTGTGATGTCCTGATGGGGTAAAAAGTCAGTCAGTTAAAATCATAGGTGTACTACAGCCACAGGAACCAAATACACTTCAAATTGTAGGCAATAGTGCTGATGTTTAAGTAGTAGAGTATGTGTTGACTGTACATAAGGTATACAGACATTCACAACATGTTTACAGATGCGTATGAGTACTGTGCACTCACACACAGTGCGTTGTTTGGTACTTAAAGAGTTAATTGGGGATTATTGATCTTTGTGTCAGCTGTTGTGTTTAGCTGGTTGATGTCATGTTTTAAAAATTAGTTGCATATCATTTAGAGGTTGCTGCAAGCCAGTTACATAATTTTTAAGCTATGTTTGGTTTTACTGGGAAATTTGTATGTTTGTTTTAGTTTAGCAGCCTCCTTTCTTTGGTTTTGACAGTGGTATAGAAAGCTGACTGTTTTGAAAGAGTTTTAGGTTTGTTCTCAAGTTACTAATGGGGAGAGTGGTTTTTGGGTTAACATTTTCTAGAATTTACTACAGAGTGGCTTTTGGGTTAATATTTTCTAGAATTGACTACAGAGTGGCTTTTTGGGTTAAATTTTCTAGAATTGACTACAGAGTGGCTTTTTGGGTTAATAATTTCAGGAATTTCTTGTCAACCAATCGTTGGTATTTTTTAACATCCCTAAAAGGAGAATGGAAAATTATTTGGAAGCAGTGGAGGTGGAGTTTTATAGACAAATGAGGAGAATACACTATACAGATAAAAAGCGTAAAATATCTTGATAGAAACTGACTCACAAAGAGAACTGATTGCCCACATCAGGAGACAATCTGCAGTCTTTGGTCATGACATGAGGAGAAAACGAGTACGTTGTCTTGGTAGAAATGTTTGAGGGAAAAGTGGCAAAGGGAGATAGAGGAGCTGTTTAACAGTCCGACATTGTGTCATGGAAGATCATCTGAGTCATAATTGATTGTTTGTATATAAGACAAAAGGTTGTGAATAGACATCACTACCAACGCCACACTGCATTTACTATAAGAAGAAGAAAAATAGGAGGATTTTCGGCACTTTTCTCATTTTCAGGCCCATCTGTGTCAGCTCCACTATTTACACACTAGGACAGTTTCATACTTCTTTGGGCTCGTCAACTTTACTGAAGGTTACAGGGCTGTCCCGCTCTGCCGGTGATATCATGCAATATTCCAGGATGCAAGCGCTTTTAACAGTCCTAGAACATGCAGAACTGGCCCTAATACAAACGCCCCCTTGCCCCTCCCAGGAGAGTGCTGAAACCTATGCCATGCGCATTCTCTTTCTCAGAGTGAAAAAGTAAATAGAAGACAATACAGAAAGCTTTTTTGAACAAACAGTACAGAGAGGACCCCCTGACACCTCTGCCAGTTACACTTGACCATCGGACAGCTAAAGGCGGAGACTAAATGTCCAATCAGAGTGCCCAGTTCTGCCTTCGTCTATCATAAATGTGTCAGTGGGCAGAGATGGACTTGAAAACTACTAGAAAAGTTCTGAATTTTCAAGAATTCCTGGGGTTGACATTTACATGCATTTCTTATGGGAGACTCAAGTTTTGGAGGTTGTTACGGTGAAACCTTGTTAACAAGAGTTTCAAGGAACCAAAAAATAAGTTCTTTTTTTTTTTTTTAAATGAGCTAACCGAAACTAATAATAATAAACTGTATACACAAGGGAGCTGAATGGTTGTAGACCACAAGGCAAACCAAAAAGACTATGGAGAGATAATGTCCAGACAGACTGGCAAACACTTGGTGTCACCAACTTGAAAAAGAAGGCCAACCAGAGAGATAAGTTGAGGTGGGTAATATCTGCTGCAGTAAACCTCAAGGGCTAAGAATACTGAAGAAGAAGAAAAATATTCCCTCCCTGCCTGGACAGAAATTTTGTTGATGTTAAAAAGGTGTTCTTAAGTGAGTTCATATTAATGAGGTTTTGCTGTATTTAGCTGTGTTGAGTCTTTGATATTTTCTGTCCTGTGTTTTCCTGGTAAAAACCTTTTAGGGGAAATGCTGTGAGGGATCTGTGCAGGACTAGTCTTGTAATGCTTTCTAGACTTTATCATCATCAAGTGCCTTGCCATCTGGTGTAGGTTGTTCATGCATCTCCTCAGATCTTGGTCTTTGGTGTTCTGGATTAATTCGACTGATGATATTCCTCTATGCCACTGTCTTAAGCCATCCACAATTTTCTCTTGATCTGCCTCTGCCTCTTCTCCAGAATCTTTCCAGTCGTCACGATATTTTCCAGTGCTCCTTTTCTTATCACATGACCAGAGAACTTTGTCTCCTTCTCGTTGTTGTATATAATGTTCTACTTTCATTAGCCATGTCCAGGCAATCATTGTTAGTTTTTCTGGCAGTCCAAGGTATCGGCAACATTCTTCTCAAGAACCACATCTCAGTTGCCTCCAAACTCATCCTAATTTGTTTGTTCCCATTTCAGGATTCACTGCCAAACAACAGAACAGGCTCAATATAACATTCAGTACTCTAGACTTACTTGTCATTTTAATATACATTTTTCTTCTGTTTTACAGTCATGTCGCCCAACTCTCATCTTGACATGGATTCCTAATGCAACACTGAAGAAAAATCCTCACAGCATTGAAAGCAGTCCCATCAAATCTCGATCCAGCACTCCGAAAATCAGCCCTAGACGTAACCCCAAACAAGAATTTGCAAAATCAGACGAGTCAGTAACACTGACACCTTCGCCGTCTCCTAGCACATACGATTCATATCCAGATCGACGATTGAAAAAATTGAGCACTGATACTACCAGCATCTGCTCTGAGATATCACTGGAGTCAAAAGAGGATTCTCCAAGCATAGATGAGTCATACATTGGAGAAGAAACATCTAAGACCAGTGGAAGTAAGCTAAGTTGCAGCTACAAGTCACAGTGTGACTCAGGAATAGGTACAGAAGAAGGGCAACACACTTCCAGCATCAGCAGTGCATACCAACCCCAGAATAACGAAAAAAGTCTACATCTCGGAGTAAAACCCTCCAGGGTTGGAGTGCATGTCAACGATTTAAACAGCTGGGACAAAAGTTCAAGATCTGATCACAAAAATGTGGGAATTGGTAAAGATCCAAACCACAGCACAGATGAGTTGCATTTAACGAAACAAACTCCATTCCAACTGGTGGCAAGTTCATGTTTGAAAACAGAAACAAACTCCATGCCAAGGTTAAAGACAAAGGGGGGGGTTGGTGGTGAGTTGGGGGGGGGGGGGGGGGGCAGTTCAGTTTAAATTGTTAATAATATCAGGGGGGGGGGGGGGGGTGGGGGGGGGGGGGGGGGGGGGGGGGGGGGGGGGGGGGGGGGAGGGGGGGGGGGGGGGGGGGGGGGGGGGGGGGGGGGGGGGGGGGGGGGGGGGGGGGGGGGGGGGGGGGGGGGGGGGGGGGGGGGGGGGGGGGGGGGGGGGGGGGGGGGGGGGGGGCTGGGGGGGGGGGGGGGGGGGGGGGGGGGGGGGGGGGGGGGGGGGGGGGGGGGGGGGGGGGGAGGGGGGGGGGGGGGGGGGGGTGGGGGGGGGGGGGGGGGGGGGGGGGGGGGGGGGGGGGGGGGGGGTGGGGGGGGGGGGGGGGGGGGGGGGGGGAGGGGGGGGGGGGGGGGGGGGGGGGGGGGGGGGGGGGGGGGGGGGGGGGGTGGGGGGGGGGGGGGGGTGGGGGGGGGGGGGGGGGGGGGGGGGGGGGGGGGGGGTGGGGGGGGGGGGGGGGGGGGGGGGGGGGGGGGGGTGGGGGGGGGGGGGGGGGGGGGGGGGGGTGGGGGGGGGGGGAGGGGGGGGTGGGGGTGGTGGGGGGGGTGGGGGGGGGGGATTGGTTGGGGGGGGGGGGGGGGGGGGGGGGGGGGGGGGGGGGGGGGGGGGGGGGGGGGGGGGGGGTAAATTCTGAAATTCTCCTGTATGGGTTCTGCTAATCATAATGTGTACTCATTCATATTGTTTTTATATTCTGAAATTCTCCTATGTGGGCTCTGTTAACCCTTTCGCTGCTACGTTACCGGAAATAGTTGTCCTCCCTGTGCTAAGCAATGTGAAAAAAAAGTCTCTGCTGTGCGCAATACTTTTCTATCCTCTGAACTCAAAAGATGCGTCCGCGGTGAGGGCTATGTTTTTTTCACCTAAAAAACTTTACCCTGGGGAGTTGTGTGGTTGGTCCGAGTGGTGACAAGTCAGAGGCCACGATGGTGCCTCACAAAACTTGATAACGGGGGGGAATTAATGGGAGGAACTGTTCCCAGGTCCGTATCCCAAAATTTGATTGAAGAAAACCTACCCACGGGGGTGGCTGCCACTTTAATCATATGTACTTGTAGTCACCATGTTATTACACATACCAAAATATACCAAATTAGAAAAAATAATTCATATATAATATACTCAAGTCGTCCGTTGCTGAAAAGTAGCAGGAACTCAAAGGAAAATTTTACAATTAATAAAAAAAAAAAAAAAACACTTTCAGGGGTTAAACACACGTCCCTCCAATTTTAAGGCGAACGTAAATGCGAAACGTGATACCACCAATTACACCATATTAACCTCACTATGCTACCGATCGCCCGTTGACGCATTGCGCTGTGGTAAAATAAGTTTGTAGTCTATCGCCGCCTGCATGAGCACTGTTGTCCTGAGAAATGTTGAGATTCTCAACAATAGTAAAAATATGTCCCTCGAGACATTATTTTGCGGGAGTTTTTAGCAAACAGTCTTTGCTCAAGTACTATATTTTTGAGTTTCTTTGTTCTAAGGCATTAGCAGACAGACAGAAAAAAAAATTAGTGTGTGTCCGAATCTGTGTCTGTCCATCGGGAAAGACGAGAAAGTTTAGTGATTTAAACTGTTTGAATTTACAGTAGCAGAAATACAGATAGAGCGGGAGTCATCAAAAGCATCATGGCACTACTGGTTTCAAATCATCGGTTCATCAAGATAACTGATCAATTTTATTTGCCGTTTTGATGGCGCTTCATTGTCGCTGCTCTCTCTGATTCCGACGATGAGGACGTCGGACAGGCAAAACAGCTTTTTTTTGGACATGCCGGTTTCAGCAGTCGATACTGATGGCCTAGTCAAATCTTGTTCACTGTGTCAGAAGTACACATTTCAAAAAAGTCATCGTCGCTATCACTTTTGACAGAAACGCTCCCATCATCTTCGTCATCAACTTTAACAAGTTTTCTTGCCATTTTTGTAACTAAGTGTAGAATAATCCAAAGGCACAAATATATATCAGAACACAAAATACACAGATCACCCGACCCGCACGCTGTCACGGTAAACAAAGCAACAGGCTAACGCAAAAATGCAGAAACATGGCCTTAAAAAAAACACGCAACTAAAAGCCACGTTAAAAGCAGTGCCAGGCTTTTAAAAAAATCGTATGTAAAATGGTCAGAGTTAATCTAAATGATTGGCTAATGTATAAAGATGCCTTCCAGCCCTTCAAGAGCCCAAAAATACGAGTGTAACAGATATCGTGTAAGAAAAGTCCAAAACAACGGCTTAAGGACGTCCATAGCACTGGGGGTCAAGAAAAAAAATAACGTTCCAAAGGACCGGGCTCAGTAACAGCGTACGGGAAATCGGGAAAAGACGTCCATAGCAGCGAAAGGGTTAATATAATGTGTACTCTTTCATATTGTTTTTGTATTGTGAAATACTCCTATGTCAGTTCCATTAATAATAATGTTTACTCTTTGATGATGTCTTTGTATTCTGAAATTCTCCTATGTCAGCTCCATTAATAATAATATGTACTCTTTCATGTTGTTTTTGTATTCTGAAATTCTCATCTGAACATTAAAAATATTTCCTATTAAAACCACAAACAGGCTCGGTTTGTGACATTCTGTAAAGGATATTCAGTCATCAACCAATCATCAGGTCCTGTACAGAACGTCGCTGTCTTCACAGCACGGCTGAGATTTTCTTTCTCTGGGCAGTTCTCCAGCCCTGTGTGCTTTCACAGCCAATGCATCTTCAGTTTCCTGTATCCACAATTGCTGAGGTCAGCCTCTGTCTCAATTTCTGGAAACTACTCCTCTCCATCACTGTTCTCTGTAGACCACCATGCCACTTTCAGGACAGGATGCTGTTTATATGCCAATTCTCCTTGATGTCCAAGTCATTCTGGATGTCATAATTTTTCTTCTTCTTTGCTCCACGTTATTCTAAGAATTTGTTTGTAGCATTTCAGTTCAAAAGCTCATATTTCTTCATCAAAGAGAGTCCGTGACTCACATTCATAAGTTACCACAGGAAAGATGCATGATCTCAAAATGTTTACTTTAATTGCAGGTGCTATGCAATAGGTTCTTGAAGTTGTTTAGCCTTTGCATTGCTAAAGCAAATCTTTGTCTGACTTATTGACTTATTTTCTGCAGTCGCCGTTGTTCATTACTGAGCCTAAATATTCCAAATCTGTAACATTTTCAATCATTTCGTTGTCGGTTTTAATACGTGGTTGGTGAAAAAAAATGAAAACTAATTTTATATTAAATTAGAAGAACAAGGTAGAGAGTATGTAGTATGTGAATGACCTTTGGTTTACAATTTGCAACTTTAATAAGTAAAACATGTTAGTTAACACCTCTGAGTTAAAAAACGGTTAAAATTAATACATTGTTTTATGTGCTCCCCCTGTGGATTCCGGGGAGCCCATTTTGGGAAAATGACACCAGCCAGAACTGGTGGTTTTCTGAATTCTTCTGGCAAAAAGAAATAACTAACACACACCAAGTGCTTTCTAGACTTGATGGTGATTGGTTGGCTTTTGCAGCTAAAATCTTGTATGGGATGATGTCACTAGTGTTATGCCAAGCCTCCTTCGTTGCCTTTTATGACATACCATGTAGATTTCAGGAACACTACTGCCCTAACAAGCATGTCATGAAAGATGACTAATTAGGGATGTTGTCTTTGAAGTAGGAGTGCATCTGCCTGAAAGGTGAGGAACCAACAGTCTGCATACAGTTAAGCCAGATCTGTGAAATGGATGTGCATGCAAAACTCAATTTCTGAAACAGGACTCTAGTCCAGAAGTGGATGAACAACCAGAACTTCCTGCTGGAGTTTACAGCCAGTCAACGTAAAGAAGAAGAAGAATTACTTTTATGAATTTAACATATTATCTTCTGAAGATTTTTATATATATATATATAATATGTATGTAATGTATATATTCCTGCAAATGTACTCTCTCCCTTTCATCAGGGATCAAACCAGTCAGCATTGAAATAGAGGGAGACAAACTTGTTGTTGTCACTGAACAGCAGGAAGGTGCCACCAACATGCCTTCAGACCCAAACATCAATCGCAACGAGAGTAAATTTGAAACCAGCAGCTCCCAGTCGACAGACATCGACACCCAGAGCCTGAGTTCTGACTCCAACAATCAGAGCCCTTGCAGCATCGGTATCAAGCCCACCATGTCAAAGGTTACCGAGGATGGAATAAATTATGCAGATGGGCTTCCTGATCTGACTGCACAGTTGAGATCAAGGGTAAATTCTGCTGTTATCTTTGTGTTGCATTTTAGTGGTATATTTTTTTTAAATAGGAATTACTATAAAGGAAATTAGTATTCAGAGGTTATGGAGCATGGAATAAATTATGCAGATGGGCTTCCTGACCTGACTGCACAGTTGAGATCAAGGGTAAACTGCCGTTATCTTTGTGTTGCATTTTAGTGGTATATATTTTTTAATAGGAATTACTTTAAAGGAAATTAGTATTCAGAGGTTACAGAGCATGGAATAAATTATGCAGATGGGCTTCCTGATCTGACTGCACAGTTGAGATCAAGGGTAAATTCTGCTGTTATCTTTGTGTTGCATTACACTGGTATATTATTTAAAAATATGAATTACGTGGTTTGAAAAAAATGTTCCGCCATCTCCATAGTGAAGAGAAAAAAAAAGAAACCCTAAAACAGACGTCGATGAGAGAGGCCAAAGCTTCTGGATTTCACCCATGATATTGAACTGATTGCACAGGATAGAACGGAGTGAATGATATAAAAATGATGATACAAAATACCATGCACACTGTTGATACAAAATACCATGCACACTGTTGATACAAAATATCTTGTAAACTTTTGATAAAAAATACCTTTGCAAACTTTTGATACAAAATACCATGCAAACTTTTGATACAAAATACCATGCACACTTTTGATACAAAATACCCTGGACACTTTTTATACAAAATACCATACACACTTTTGATTCAAAATACCATGCAAACTGTTGATATAAAATGCCATGCACACTTTTGATACAAAATACCATGCAAACTTTTGATTCAAACTACCATTCAAACTTATGATACAAAATACAATATAAACTGTTGAATCAAAATAACATGCAAACTTTTGGTGCAAAATACCATGCAAACTGTTGATGCAAAATCCAGTGCAAATTTTTTCTTTCATTTTTGTATTTTTCATTTTGCATGACAATAAATAATTGAGCTTTGAGAAAGTTATTACTTGGGTGTTGTCACTTACTCAGTGACTGCACATTTTTTGTTAGAGAAGCCTCTGCAGTAGTAATCCTTTCCTTTGTTGATCCGCTTCTACTTTGAGGTGTAGAGGTTTGCCAGAGAGATCGCCCTTTTTTTTTCCTAGCTTTTTTAAATTAGTAAAAGATCCCCATGTGGTTCCGGAGCCTTATTATAGGAAAACCAAGAATAGACCCACAGCCTACCCAAAAACATGTCGTAAGAGTTTGACTAATTGGAAGCTTCCTTCTAAGTCGGAGTGCATCTGCCTGAATGGCAAGGAACCAACAGACAAATTACTGAGATCTGTCAAACGGATGCACATGCAACATTCAGGTTCTGGAACAGGACTGCAGTCCAGAAGTGGACGAACAACCAGAACTTTCCCCTGGAGTTTACAGCGGGTGAACGCAAAGAAGAAGAAGAAGATTAGTATTACAGCCTTGTTCTTGCAAGGAGAGAAACCATGAGTTAGTATGTATGTGTTTCTGTCACCAGGTTCCTTTAGAGCTACATTTACCTCAGACAACACGGCCTCCCCCCAACACTCCTGCAATGACTCCAGATGTCAATGTGGCCAAGTCTAGATCTAGATCTGTGTCATGTTCTTCAACCACAACTTCAGGCCCTGACTCAAGACCAGTAACTCCTTGTACATCAGAGGGAGAATCTGGTGAGCCAGCAGGATGTTGAAATCATCTTGCCCTTATATGTATTTACATTATTTTTAAGAAACACCAACAGTGTGCAAAACTATTTCACTGCACTTACTAAAACATTGTGTGTGGTCTGTTCTTTTTGTATGCGAATGTTGTGTAATCTTCCTTCTTCTTAGCTGTAAACTCTGGCAGAAAGTTCTAGTTATTTGTCCACTTCTGGACCTTAGTCTTGTTTCAGCACCTGATTTGTGCGTGCACTTCCATGTTACAGATCTGGCTTATTTGTATGCAGACTGTTGGTTCCTCTCAACCTCAGGCAGATGGACTCTGACTCTAAAGGAAACCTCCTAATTAGTTGCCTTTTACAAGACATTTGTTAAGGTGGAAGTGGGTCTGTCCCCCCCCCCCCCCCCCCAATCCCCCTTCTCCCAAATGGAGATCCTGAACCCACACTGCAAGTTGGACAGTGAGTAATGAAGAGTTGTAAAGAAACTGAAGGCAATGGAGATATAGTTTTTGAGAATGTGGAGAATATCCTGGCCAGAAAATAAAAACAAACACTGCGGTATTAATTAGTGAGAACTATTATTATCGCATTCTGGGCAGATCCATACATGCTTCAATATCCTCCTTCTGTAGCTTCACAATGTAAAAATGACCGGCCATGACAATTCTGTGTTGATTAATCAGATATCGTGTCCCCTTAATGAAATGTTCACGTCTGCTAGCTCTAGGTTGTATCCCTATCTCCACCAGTCTGGACAGAGATAATAGTGTCATGCTAGTTCCCCCATAGTCATCTTTGGGTTATGCATCTCACATGGCATTGATGACATCAATCCTGTCTGGTGTTAGACCAGTTATAATAACCACAGTTTTTTCCAAGTAATCTATAAGCTCTTTGCTTTGATCATCTACATAAGCCGGCACAAAGGTAAAAATTAGGCATGTCATTTGTGATGTAGATTTTGGTGTTTGGATCCGAATCAGGTCAGATGTTTTTCATAAATCAGCTTGTCTCACAAGTGGATCCAGTAAAAGCGTATGAGGTAAAGACCTGGGAAGTAAAGGCGGCTGCTGAGTTCTGATTGGTCTGTACAAATATGAGTCTAGCATCATGTGCCCGATGCACCACTGGTTTAAAAAGGGTTCTTTATTTTGTACTTATTTGTGAAGTGTTCTTTTGAGACTAAGACTTAATGAAACAAGTATTCGATTGTTAGTGAAATCACTGTTACAGGCCAAACATGGACAGTGAATGAGTCGCTAAAACAGAAAATCACTACATGTGAAATATGCTGTCTCTGCAAGGTCACCAACACAGCAAGAAGAGACAGGGTACAAATACCAGCATTAAAGAGAAAGTTGGAATAAGACCATGTCTGGATTATATTGATAGTCAAAGAGTGAAATGGTTCAGCCATCTTGTGAGAATGCAGCCAGGCCAAACTGCATACAAGACTTTTTACAGCAGAACATCTGGGAGGAAGGTGAGAGGAAGACCAAGAGAGACGTGGATAAATGGTGTAGCCAAAACCTTAAAAAACAAAGATGAACAAATTCATCATCCAAGCCACCCGAGAAGCGAAAGACAAATACAGAAAACCACGATACTGGGCTACAAGCTGGCATCAGTGAGATGTCAAAAGAAGACAAGGAAAAAGACAAGATCACTCATTAAAATTATAAAGCACAGACAAATCACAGTTAAGGGTGTATATCAATAAAAGAGATAGAAAGAGACATTAGGTTTTTGTTTGGAAGAAAACTAGACAAGAAAGGCAGAGTAGGGCAAAGGAAGATGTGTGTGGACAACAGACTAATTAAGCAACACCAGTGCCCTCAAAATATCAGACAACAGATAGGATTGGTGAGCCATGAATGCCAATGTCTGCTGCAGACCAGCACTTGAAGAAAAAGCGCTAATTTTTAGAGGTCTTGGGAAACTGTTATTACTACTTAATTGATTATATGATTAAATTTAACATCTTACATGTTTCGAAGTGTTTTCCAACAACATAGATCTACTGTTTGTGTTTTCCAGTACCCACTTCTCCACATCAGGATTGGACAGGTGACCAGCCGGAGTCTCCCAGCAGCTGCAGTTCTGCTGGCATGTCACATAACCTGACTTTTCCAGAAAATGCCATGATAACCTCGAGCAGCTCCTGTCACAAAGAGAAGCGTAGTGCCAAAGATCAGTTGTGTGGGGTGTTTTCTGTTGATCTAGGTCAGTTGCAGGTCATTTATAATTAGATCATAAGATTTGGCTATCCTCCGACTAACGGTCGGCAAAGATGGTGGCCGCAAAATATCCAGCTGAGCCGCATCTCCTACAGCCTTGCTCGTGAGTCCAAGCCATCTAGTTTAGCCCCAATCCACACGGCGTGGGGGCCACATGGCGGTAGCCATAGTCGCCGGAACAGCGCACATTAAGTAGCCGGAAGCGCGCAATTGACACGTGACTGCGGCTCGGCTATATATTTTGCGGCTGCCATCTTTGCCGACGTTGGTTGGAGGATGGCCTAAGATTTATTTTTTTCAAGTATAGGGTTCAAAACAAGCAATTTAAAAATAAACAAACTTTTTTACAGATATTATTAATAGACACAGAAAGTATGACATCACTTTTTATAATTGATAGACCTGGGGAAAAAACATCACGTTAGATTAGAAATTGGTAGTTTAACCCGGTCGTTCAGGAAATGCTTAAAAAAAATGGTGGTGTCATGACCAAATCGGAATTCCAAAGTAAATAATTCAGATATCAACAATATTACACAGGTCACAAATAAAAGTATTTTTAAAATGTGGTAATCTACATTTTTTACATTAGTTTTCAGGTATATGAAGATTTATAAATGAAGTTATCATAAACCTGAACAGAGTGAAGCGTTAAATGGAATACATTTACGGAGCTTAAAACTATATGTATAGAGTGACTCATACAATGACCTTGTGACCTTTATCACTGAGGCTTACATTTAAATTTGATGTCAATATGGCTTTAAAAAAGCAATTTAGTTACAAGGAAAGCCCCTCCCCCCCCTTTCCCCGGTTTAAAAAAAAATTTGTTTGCGCAGGCATGAACACAGCCAATAGCATCAACTCTGCATCTCATTAACATGACATAGAAAAGTGGCATTTAAAGGAATTGGACCCAACTGGAAGTGTCAGTTTTGCAGCTTCTCTGGACAATGGGTCTAAGGAATAGAATAATGTGTTAGAAATGGGTACCCTACAAAGCACACTTCTGACATCCTATCTTCAAATACTCATATACTATCTGCAGACGCATACTCCTTTACTCCTCAAATGACACAACGAAATATGTTTACGCTCTCTTACTATGTAAATGTATAAAGCCTTTAAATATTATGTTCGACAGGCAATTATCCTCACTGTTTAGTTTTATAGTTTTTAACTTTAACTTTTTATAGTCTGTCTTTTTTTTCCTGTTTTATAGTTGCTAGTTACTTGTAAAGTGTTTATGTTGTTGTTTCACCTAAGTGACAGATCAGAATGGTTGTATAATTGGTGTTTTAACTACAGAAAGCTGGCCTTTTTTTGTTTGTTGTAATAATACTTCTTTCTGGCGGCGTCTGTGGCTTAGGCGTTGCGAGTCCGACTCGTAATTCCAGCGTACCGCAATCGAAACCCACTGCTGGCTGTGTGGACTTTTATCGTGGTATGGGGCGTCGCAGGTTGACCCAACCTAAAATGGGTACCAGGATGGCTGTCCTGGGGAAGTAGAGACGGTGGGCGTAATGCTGACCACATTACCCACCTAGTGCCGATGGTCTGAAAAAAATATGGCCGCTCTTCCCATATACCTGATGCGCCTAAAGGAATCTTTACTTTTTTTTTTACTTAATTCTTCTTTCTGACTGTACATTGTTGCAACTAGTCTCTTTATTTAAACTTATGAGCATAGGAAAGTTTACTTACTTTACTTTTACTTTTTCCTTCCACGTATGCCGCTAAGCGTTGTGGGGAGATGCAAGTTCCTGTCATAAGCAAGGCGGGCAGCATCTGATGTTCTGAGGCCATGCTTTTGGCAGGTTTCGGAGACCCCGTCAATCCACCGTTTCCTTGGTCTTCCTCTTGCCTTATATCCTGAGCTTATTTATCTCCTTTCTAATTTTCGTAGCAATAAAAAATCCACTGCCGGCTTGCTAGGCCAGTCGCAGTTTAAGGAAAAATCTGACCAGATGGACCCCATTCCATCTGGCGAGCCAGAGCCTCGTTCGCCTGTGGCCTCACGGCCACAGTTTCCCGGTCTGCACCACTGGGAGGAGAGGTTGACTTATGTGTACTGTGGGTCATCGGCAGGCTACTAATTTTCACTTTTCACCTCTCCTAAGAGAAGCTAGCCGACCCCAACCCTGCTGGATGCAGAGCCAGGCACAGTCCACATCTTGCAGGAAAGTTTACAGTTGTCATTAAACAACCATGTCTTGTCTTCAGGTCAGATGCGTTCTTTAAGATTGTTCTACAGTGACCAGGCTTGTACCCAAGGTCAAGTGGTCATTGCCAGCCGGGAGAGCCAGTATAAAATCTTACACTTCCACAATGGAGGTCTGGATAAACTGGCAGAAATCTTTGAAGATTGGAGCCTGTTTGCCCAGGAAACAAACGAAGTAATGTTCTGTTTGAATGTGTTAGATAAATGTAAAGTAAATAAGAAAATTACCTTTATAGTGTCAGTGATGCATTGGGTACACTTTGCCAGATCAATGGTCTCCAGCCTGGGGGAAGGCATGCAGAAGTTTCAAGGAAAGCATCAAGCAATTTGAAATTGAATCGCATTTGTATTTTAAAGAAAACAAAACAATATTGCTAGCTTGATGTGGAGAGTGACCTCTAAATGGCCTTGTCCAGCATCAGACAAAAAATAGCAGATATCATCAAGACAAAACTGTGTCAACCATCTCATTGATATTTGGACACTAAATTGCACATTTTTGGTTATTGTTTCTTTTGTTATTTGACACTCAGTTTTAAATGTATGTTTTTCTCAAATTTCTTGTTAACATTGCTTGGAATTTTTCTTCTTTCCTCCTCTTTTTGTTGTGTTGGCAGGTGGAGGTAGTCTCTGCTGCCTTCCTCTGGCTTGAGAATCAGCTGTACACACATGCTGTGATTGTAACTGACTCACAGAGCATGTTGAGGAATTTGAAAACAGGCATGCTTCCTGCAGAGTGGCCAGCATCACTTCAGAGATCCCGGGTGGTTAGCATCCTTTGGATATTTTCTCCAGGTCATGCCGGTGTGTTGAAACATGAGCAGGCAGATAGACTGGCTGGCTCTGCACCACCTGGTGGTGATTTGATGTATGACAATTCAGATATAGCTAGCTCAGTTGGTTAAACCTGACTTCGAGGCGACCGGGTGACGAACTCCTTGTGGTCCAAGTTCACGCCCAGGGGTAGGCAGAAAAACCACATTTCTTTTAGATTTATGGTATCTATCATGGAATCAAAGCCGAAGAGTTGCGATATCTATAGTACCAAGTCCAAAGGGTTAAAAACTTATGGCTTCTGGATATTTAAAAAAAAAAGAAAAGAAATCTATGCTGACATGTAACCGCTGTAGCCTGTAACCACACTGGTATCTAACCGTACTGACATGTAACTTTACTGATATGTAATCAAACTGATGTGTAACTGACATGTAACCAGACTGACATCTTACCACTGTTGCCTGTAACCACACTGGTATCTAACTGTACTGACGTGTAACTTTCTGATATGTAATTAAACTGATGTGTAACTGACATGTAACCACACTGACATGTAACCACACTGACATGTAATCACGCTGACATGTAACCATGCTGACATGTAACCACATTGACATGTAACCATACTGACATGTAACCATACTGACATGTAACCACACAGACATGTAACCATGCTTACATGTAACCATGCTTACATGTAACCACACTGACATGTAACCACGCTGACATGTAACCACGCTGACATGTAACCACGCTGACATGTAATCATACAGACATGTAACCATACTGACGTGTAACCACACTGACGTGTAACCACACAGACATGTAACCACGCTGACATGTAACCATACTGACATCTGCTGATTTTGACAGGTAGCCGAAGGAGATAAACCCTACCGGCAGTTTCTTGTGGTGAAGCCTCATCTGACCGATGACCAGTGCCACCCAGAGGAGAACTTGTTTTCCGTGGTGACCGAAGAGGTGTGGAGAGAACACATGGCTGCCGATGGTAGCATTGAAGATGTCTTCCAGTTGCGTAAAGTAAAACATTCTTCTAGCCTTTCGTTTGTTATTACCTTCTTGAACAAATATTTCTTGATTACTGTGTATGAGTGATCCAAAGGAAGGTGAAGAAATCCTAGAAATACCTGGACAGCCAAATCACAAAGAAATTTTTTGTTTTAAAAAGGTACTGAGGAAGCTCTCTCTATGTGTGTTCTGGGGCCCTGTTATTGGGTTGGGAGAGGGGGGGGGGGGAAATAGACTTACTGCCAACACGCAGAGAAGCATGCATAAAAGGAGACTGATAGGGATGTTTCATGGAAGGTTGAAATGCATCTGCCTGAAAGGCAAAGAACCAACGGATAAGCTAGATTTGTGAAACAGATGTGCATGCAAAACTCAGGTACTAGAATAAGACTAAAGTCCAGTTGAACAGCCAGAATTTTCCGCTAGAGCTTACTGCTGGTGAACAGTAAGAAGAAGGAAGCAAGGGCATCAAAGAAACACTCTGCGGGAAATGCCGATGTAATGGAGGCACCAGGCTATATTCCATACGCCATATTAAAAAATTTCACAAGAATGGTGGACGGCAAGCTCTGTGTGACGTATAAATGACACATAATCACAACCTTTCGTACATTATTTTTAAATTTTAATCTTGATTAAAATTTAGGTCACCTTTCATAACACTAGGCCACCTTGTATTGGTTTTGAAAATTCTGTGAGTGTTGTACCATTCAGAAAACAAGTGGCAAACTTTTAATCTTGTTATTCTGCCCTCTGTCCACCAGTAGAGACTAGGTCCTCAGCTAGCTTATGCCAGACCATCCTGCCCTTTGCTATCACCTTCAGCTCATCCCATGTCCTCCCTATATTTTTTTTTAACTTCACTCTCTCACTCTCTTCCCTGTGTTTTTTGGTTTGCCTTTATTTCTGTGTCATCATAGTTCTAGTGTAAAGATAGTTAAATTGTTCTTTGGTTTTTCTCAACATGTGTCCTATCCATTTCTAGAGTTTTTCTTTAACTCTTGTCAGCTCAAAATAAAGGACCCTTTTCCACGCCTTCAAGCGTATTGGGCATATAGGGCTAGAAAGAAATGTCAACAGCAAAGAATGGCAAGCTGCTGGATATAAAATTGCCTAGTAAAACTTTGCAACAGCCAATAAATGTTGAGGTTGGTTAGCACTGTGCTATAAAGGATATACAACTAATATTTTAGTCAAAAGTTAAAGGTGTTACCATGCTTTCCCCAAAAAGCGAGGCAGAGGCAGACCTTCACGAACATGTATACAAGACATTGAAGATGCATTGGCAAAGAAAGCACATAGGGCTATAGAATTGGATGGAGTTAAGAGAGACTTTCAGGCGAGCCGTGACGAGAGCGATGTTCTGTAAAGGAACCATTAATTAATGATGATGAATTATATAATGAGGACAACACAAGCTGCAGACAATGGCAACTTTTGATCCAACACATTCGATTTTAGCAAACCCTTAGTTAGCCTTTAAAAGGCAGTGCTTTTGTTGATGGCCCCACCAACGGGGCCCTAAGACGCACATAGGGAGAGTGTGGTGTCTTAGTGCATGTGACATACTGCTCCTGAAAGAAACACAAAGGAGAAAAATTGTTGTTGAGAAGAATCATATCATTTTATATTTCTTCAGGCAATATTTTTTGGAGGCCTTGACCCAAGCATCCGTCATGAGGTCTGGCCTTTCCTCCTGCATTATTTTCCATTCTCTTCAACTTTGGAGGAGAGAGAGCAGATTAGAAATGACAAGTATATTGAGTATCAGAATATCCGTAAAGTCAGGTAATGGACAGTGTGTCTGTTTTTGTTATTGAGTATTGATATTATATTGACTACTACTTTATTTTATTAATTTTTATTGCTGTTATCTTAATTTATACTGAACACAACTGATGTATTTTATTCATTGTTCTCAGCACTTTTGTCTTGGAATATTTTTGTTATTATTGTATCGGCGCCTCAAGTGATTTGTTAAATTTACAATACAGAGTTTTTAGTTTGCCAAAGTCATACCTGGTATAATCAGGTGCAAGAGATTCTGAGAGTGCCTCCTATTAGCTCAATGCAAGGTCTAGCTTTGGGAACAAACTGGTTCTTCTCCTTGTTGTATAGATTGGACAAATCAAGATAATGTTAGAGGTATTTTGTGTCCTAAAAACCTCAAGTTATGCTACTGTTGTCTAATTTTTGTCAGTTTCTCAGTTTTTTTTTGACATGCAGAAGCACACATGAGGCAAAACCTACTTACCTGCAGGTAGACTTGGAACACTCAAAGACTATAGAAAACAAACTTGAAGTAGATTCATGTTTTATTTTAAAGTATATATGTTTTCCTTGGGAGGACAGTAAGAATCCTATCATAGTTTTTTTTTTTTACTGATAAATATAGAGATGGTTCTACAAGTCTAGGCTTAATTTCGATGCTTTAATAATATCCTACCCCAAACAGGGGAAATCCACAGGTCACGGGACAGTCTAATATTTCAGGGGGTGGTAGATAGGCTGCATGCAGTCAAGGGACCTAGGCCGCACTCTCTCGTGGGATGTCGGTGGGTTGGGTTTAGGGCCAGTTCTAGATGTTTTGGGGTCGTTAAAGCATCAGAAAGCCAGGAAACCAAGTCTTATCACCCTCTAAAATGTTGAACTGTCCTGTGACGTCATCTGGGGTAGGATTTTAATAAAAAAAACCTTAACCTTAATCAGTAGGCACTTTCTGTTTTGAATCATCACCTGATAACACCCTAATATGCCTCTTCGCAAACAAGAAGTTCCAGCAGTGGTCTTGCACACCCCTCTAGTTTCTAAAATTGGAGAGGGGTGGAGAGTACACCTCAGCAGTAGTCCAGGTAGAGATGGAACTTTACATCCGGTCAAGAAAAAAGACTCAATACCTACTTCAGATAGATACCTGACTGTTTAGTCCTTGGATGACTAAAAAGCCAGTGTGTTAAACATAAAGAATAAATCTTCCAGAGGATTCATTAACCAGCTAACCAATCTTTAGAATTATCTTAAACCTAATGAAAGGTGACCTTGAAAAGCAGAGGAGAAAAGAAAGCTTCCAACAACAGGCTGTTTAGCTGAATGCTTCCTCATTTAAATATGCATGTCTGTCCTCAGATATGAGATATGATTGTAAGAGCTGATATTGTGTGTGTGCATGCGTGCATGTGTATGTGTGTGTATGTATGTATGTATATATATATATATATATAAAAATATGGGAGGCACCGTGGTGTAGCAGCTAGATGCTCGCCTGCAGATCAGAAGGTCATGGGTTCGGGTCCTGACAATGCCATACTTTTTTTTAAAACTGACATTGGCTCCCAGGTCAACCCATCTTTGAGTAGGTACCAGGTATAGTCCTGGAAAGTAAAGGCGGCTAGCAGGATGTTGACCACATCACCCACTGAGTGCTGATTGAACTTTAAAATATAGATTTTGCTCTATAATCCCATTACGCCTGACTGCGTGGAAAAGGGTATTTTTATTTATAACACATGTGTGTGTAATATAGTCAGTCAGCTCTGTGGCTAAGTCGATGCAAACGCTTCGTAATGCCGGGGTGCCGTATTCAATCACAGCTGCAGGTCATGCGCCTTGCGTTGCTTTCAACAGTGGTATCAAGAAGCCGACCGTCCAGAAAGCAATGGCAAACTCTGGACGTAAATTAGCCTAGAGAAACTACACAACAGCCAGAGGCTGCTGGGGTTGGTTCTGCAACGTCCTGTAGAGGATACGCAACTAACCTAACCTTGTGTGTAATATAAATATATACACATGCATGTGCACGCATGCATGCACTCAAGCACACACACACACCCATGCAGAGAGAGATTGTTTGTTTCATAATTTGCCGTAGTTTTCATCTACATTCTTCCATGTACAGAGAATCAATGGATCCAGAGGTCCAACAGCAGTTCTGGCGCAGTATTCAGTGCATTGTTGAAAAAGATGTGATCAGAACTGACAGATCACATCCGTACTTCAGAGGAGATCACAATCCAAACATTGAAGTCCTAAAGTAAGTTCCCCCTTCTTCGTCACAATCCAAACATTGAAGTCCTGAAGTAAGTTCCCACTTCTTTGTCACAGTCTAAACATTGAAGTCCTGAAGTAAGTTCCCATTTCTTCACAGTCTCAAATTTGCAGACACATTCAGTGTAGTTACATTTCTTTTCTTTTTTCCCTCTCACAAGAGAAAGTTTATTGTCAATTGTCAACTTCTTTCCTTCTTCAGCAGTAGTTAGTACACTGACCTGTTGACTCTGTGGTTTAGTGTCCTTAGTAGGTAAGTAAAAAGACCCTTTTCACATTATTGGCACATCAAGTTCTCTTTTGGAAGGGTGGATCCATATTTTATTAGGGTCTCTTAGTATAGGGAGTTGAGTCACCTTTTATCAAAATGCTATGACCTAAGATATCTAAATGGCTGATGCTTCACACTTATGTACAGTAGTTGCCGAGGGATTGGTTTTGCTTCCGTAAACATACACATGATTGATTGAAACAAAAACTAACAGAATAAATGTACTGTTAAAAAAAAAAAAGACAGTTCAGAGGTTTAAAAAATGAGAGGATTGACTTCATTGCACCAGGTTTTCTCCCAGATGGCTCAGTCTCTCTTCTCTCTGCAGGACAAACTCCATAGGTTTACATTTAGAGTTCCCAGGGATCTTCTTTAAAAATGACACTCAATTCATTGATACTGATGAATTGAGTGTCACAGTCTGAAAATATAAAATAAGAAGAAAAAAAAATTATATGAAATATTCTTTCCTCTATCATTGAAGTTGTGTACTTGGTCCGCTATTGGTTTTATTATGTTTCTTTCTCTTTACCAGAAATATACTTCTCAATTATGCCATAGCCAACCCTTTAATGGGCTACACGCAGGGCATGTCCGACCTGCTGGCTCCAGTGCTGGCGGCAGTGCAGCAAGAATCAGACGCTTACTGGTGTTTCACAGGACTGATGACACGGACCATTTTTGTTAGCTCACCTAAAGACAGCGACATGGACAAACAGTTGGTGGGTCTTTTATGTGTTCAGTTTTTAACATGTGCTTTGAATATTAAAGTGTCATGGTAACAGGTTGGCTATTGTACAGGCCATTGCTAACTTGACTTTACTCTGGGTTAGGAAAGTTAAAAGAGTCTATGAAAACTATGTCTAAGATGATCCCATAAATAAGACGCACCTTGATTTTGGGACCAGAATGTTTGAAATAAATAATATGATTACCTAAAGTTATTGAACACACGTTTATTCATCATAGCATCTAGAAAACTCTTTATCACTGTCAAAACTTGCATCCTTGTCATAGTTCTTTAGCTTGTCCTCGTCTCTGACTGGTGACACATCACTGTCTTCATATTTTTGCCTCATCATCAGTTCCATCTATGACATTTGAAATGTCACATTTCTTGAAGACTTGACAACGATCTCAGTCTTCACAATTATCTCAGGATCTTGTCAGTCGGGTACAAACTTCTATATTTGGTTTCTTCAAAGTAATTTGGTGCCAGATTGTCGCCAGAAGACATCATCCATTGATTTAATTTATCTCTCATTACAATTTTTTTATGACGCCCCTGAACTGGCATTCTCAAATGAGGCCCTGTACAGAGTATTTTCTCATAAATCATTTGCAAAATCTACAGTTATTGTATAAGACGCACACTGTTTTTAGACCCTATATTTTTAGAAAATTAGTTTGTTTTATGCATGGGAAATATAGTACTTCATCTCATAGAAGTAGTATATCTTTAATCCTCATCGGTTAAATGTTTGGCATAATTTTGGCACTCACTCAACACCTTTTCTTGTATATTCCTTCTAATACCAAAAGGATCTCTTTAAAGGCAATGGCGGTACTCAGAAATTCGTAGGAAATTATACGACTGTGGCTCTTTGGTTTAGAAGTTAATGAGCATTTTTCATGATCCTCAACAAACCAGGGTTTGATTTGTTGCAGCTGTCTTAGAAAAAGACCATTGTCATTGCTACAGCAGTAGATGCACAGCAGCAAACCTCCATTGTGAAGATAAAAAAAAAAAAGTCAAGTTCCCTTTTCACGCCTTTCGGCGCATCGGGCATATGGGCAGAGCGTCCCATATTTTTACAGACCATCAGCACTCTGTGGGTAATGTGGTCAGCATTACGCCGGCTGTCTTTACTTTCCCAGGACAGCCCATCCTGGTACCCATTTCAGGCTGGGTCGACCTGCGACATCCCATACCACGACAAATCCACGCAGCCTGCAGTGGGTTTCGATCGCGGTATGCTGGCTTACGAGTCGGACTCGCAACGCCTTAGCCACGGACGCCGCTCCATTGTGAAGATGGCGCACATTTATTATAGGCTTGCCGCAGCGGAAGCTGCAACAAAGCAAAGGCACAAGCTTTGTGGTATGAAAGGAAGCCAGCAGATTCTTAGAAACAACACTGACTAAATTGGTGACAAACTAAAACAATTGTATCGTCATAGCTTCTTTTTTCTCCTTATATTCCATACCATATGGCTTTTGGTAATCATGTCTATCCACAGTCTTCTGTCTCATGGACTTTCAGTCAGTTATGACACAGATGATCTTCCACAGCATGATGTCAGACTGTCTAACATCTTTCCTCTTGGTCTCCCTCTGTCTCTCTTCTCCAGTTTTCTCCTTCTCATGACATGGCCCTTCTGATGTGGGTTGTCAATTTTCTTTGTGAGTCAGTTTCTTTCAAGACATCTTTATTACACTTTTTATCTGTCCAGGGTGTTTTCACCATTTGTGTATAAAACCACATCTCTGCCACTTCAACATTATTTTTCATTAATCGGCCAACTGTCCATGATTCACTTCTGTATATAAGGTTATGATTTATTTGGTTCTTGAGAATCTTTATGTCATGTAGATCTAATTCATCCTTTATGTCCATAATTAATTGTTATTTCTACTGGTTCTTGATAATAATTTTTTTTTTTTAAATTAGCATTGTATCATTAGTATTAGGGCTGTACCGAATAGTGATTTTCACTATTCGGCCAAATATGAATAGCTGGACCAACTATTCGGCCGAATACGAATAGTGAATCATCATCATCATCATCACGTGCTTTGCCGACTGGCACGGGCGATTATGCCTTGCCACAATCTGCGATCTCCTGCAGCTTGTATTAATTCGTGTGCTGACACATCTAAGATATTTTAAGCATTGTTCTGTAAAACCACATCTCTGAGGCCTCTAGAAATTGTTTGGCCTGCCTACCGATTGTCCAGGACTCACAGCCATATGTTTAAACTGGATGTATGTAGCAAGTAACAATTCTTTTTCTAACCTTCAATGACAAAGTTATATTGCATAAGATGTTTTTCACTTTATAAAATGCAGTTTTTGCCTGTCCTATTCTGTTTCTTATTTCAGTAATGCATCTTCCATCTGATGTATCCATGTGCCCAGATACTCAAATTTCTGTACTTTTCCCAAAATAAAACCATTGACTTTTATTACGCATTTAGGAATAATTATTTTCTTTGATACCACCATTACTTCTGATTTCCCACTATTCAGACTGAGGCCCATTCTTCCACTTTCGAATAGTGTATAAAATAGATCTAAAAAAAAAAACTTCCATAATGTCAAATATACGCTGAAATTTTACTTCACAAAATGTAGTACAGAATAGAAAACATTTAAAAACATTTCTTGTTTTGCATCCTTCAGTCAGTCAGCCTGTGGTAACTAATAACTAGGAATAAAAGTATTCTTAGTTTTATAACAAGTAACTAAACTTGTAAATTGTCACTGACAGCTTAGTTAATCCATGAAATCAGCATTAGCTTAAAAAAAATTTTTACCATGTTGTTAGCATTAAGGCAGCTTCTTGTCTCACTGAAGGTATTTCCAGCTGTACTAAACAGACGTTCACTTGGTACGCTCGTAGGTGGTGCACAGAGACAACGTTGGACAGTATGAACCAAGGTGGGAAATCTTGATATGTTTATTTTCCACCAGTCCAGAAACGGGTGTAAGGTAACCACTATTCGTATTCGGCCCGACCGCAACTATTCGGCCGAATACCGAATAGTTATTGGGTCCACTATTCGGCCCCGAAGCGAATACGAAGCGAATATTCGGTACAGCCCTAATTAGTTTCGCTTGGATTTGTTTTTTTTTTCCAGAATTATCTACGAGAACTGCTTCGAGTGACACTTCCAAAGTTCCACTACCACCTGAAGCTTCTCGGACAAGATGCCATGGAACTTTTGTTTTGTCACAGGTTTGTATTTTTTTTTTTTTTAAATTTCATGTTGCGTTTTTACAGTTGCGCTGGTTCATTGGATTTTGAATCTGCACTGAGGTGGATTTTTATGGGGAGGGGGGGGGGGGGCTTCAAATGAAAGTCTTAAAAGTGTGACAGAGATTACAGTAACCCTGCCATTGTCTTGAAACCTGTCTTTTCATCTTTTCTCTACTCCTGGAATGCCTCGTGGCCTCAGGGCAGGAAGATATCTTTTTAACGGGCCCTTCTGTTCGCTTCGTTATAAAGTACTTTTCAGTGTCTCTGATATTTCTGCGGTCCATCATTTGCTTGGTCCAATTTTGGCTCTGTTACCGTTGTATGTGTATAATATTGCTCTCTGTAGTGCCATGTCTGGTGCCAATCAGACATGATGATGTCATAATGATGGTTTAAAGATGACCACCCCACTTTTTACATGCAGGAAATTTCTAAATGGCATGACTACTGTTTATGACTGGGTCAAGCAAACCTGTAATTAAAGTTGACATAGCCAGATTATGGATATGAGGAAACGTCCTGGGAAATAAACTTAATTTACCTGATGCTGAGTTCAGCACTGGTTCTGTCCTCCTTGTTTCCTGATGTAGGGATGAAACCAGTGCTAAATTACAAGAAACAGCAGGTGAAATGGTTCTGTGTGTAAAGAAGAACTACTACAGAACAATGTGCCACAGAGAGCCCTGTCATTTTGACACACTGGAAGCAGAGCTGGATGTCACCCATGAAAGTGATGAATAGATGGAGTATCTGAGGTTTTGAATACCACAATCAGCGAGGTTGAGATTCCAGGCAAAATGGAGGATAGGCACATTCACTGTTTTTAGTGATGGAACATTTTTGCTTCTAGCAACCAGTGGCCAATGCATTGTGTTTCATTTGTAGGCTGAAAGGATATAGTTTTATTGTCCAGCTAATGATTTGAGTGCATGGTCTGACACTGTGAGCTGAAGATTTCATTTGGAGTATTTTTTGACTGTGACCAACATGGTGCCTTATTTGATTAAATTTAGTCACATGTGCAACTGCTAATCTGTTTGTAACTGCTACTTTCATCAATGACGAACTGCATTTCTTGTGTTGGACAATATTTGTTAGCACATCTTATGCCTTATGGTTTTAATGCATGTGTATTCTAGTAGATATGCTGAGGCCGTGTGTATTTCAGTTTTTCCACAAGAAATGATGGACATTCTGTGTGTATTTTCATTGGCACAGGGGTGGAGCAACTAGGGGGTAACCCATTTGACATGAAGCTGAAAATAAGATCACCAGATTACCTTATTCAACGTAGCTCACCCCAAGGCTGGCACCAGACAACTCTTCAAAACCTGACACTAAATGGCAGACCAGAGATTAGAGAAAACAAGAAAGTACCTATTCATCTATCAAAATGAGGGCCATGCACCATGTGCCTAATAAACCAAGTTTGTGAAGAAGGTCTTTACAGATGGTGCTAAAGCTGGGTGATGCTGTGGTCACTGTCACGCCGGCTGCCTTTACTGTCCATGATATTTTCTGCTACCCATTTTAAGGTGCATGAATCTTGGAACTCAAATCACTTATGCAACTGTGCCTTGATGAAGATTCAAACCTGTGACCACTTAGCCATCAGGCAAGCATGCTAGCCACTGTGATCCACCCCCCCCCCCCCCCCCCCCCCCCCCCCATACACACACACATTTTTTTTTTCAAGTCACCCAAATAAATTTTTGAAAACATTTTAAAATAAAAAATTTTTTATGAATAAATGAAGGGAGGTGGTCAATTAACACAAACAAAACAGATAATTAACTGCACTCATAACATTCGGTCAAGAAAAAGACAGATTTTTGTTGACTTGGCCAAATGGCACAAAATAATGACTTAGTAGCTGAAAAGGACATTATCTTCATCTCCAGAATGCATTTTTAGTGAATATAATCGTGCCTGGCCTCTCTATAAACACAGTGTATTCACAAATAGTACCAATCCTTAATGCCAACAAAATCTTTAGAATGTAGGGTATGTAGTAGTTGTACCCCATCAGGACATCACACAAGCGATAAACACCCGGTGACACAAAGTGCCACCATGCGGATGAGGATCACCCGGGGAGAGGCCCCAGAAACCCCTTTCAGCCGTTAGGCCATAGCTATGGCTAGGCCACATCTATGCCCCGGCTATGTTCAGGGCCCCCGGCAGAAGCCTGGGTATGGCTTCAAATAACAAAAAAATTGCATCCCACATGGGGACGACAGGTTAACAAAAAACTTCATAAGATTCAAAACCAGGGTAGTAGAGCTAAGTCCAGGCATCTCATCATTGTTATATGCTGCTGTTGGGATGAGATAGATGATGCAGCATATTGTTATTGCCTGTGCATATCTGTATTCTGTGATTTGCTGAATTCTCACTTCATTTGCTGTTAGATGGATTCTGTTGTGCTTCAAACGGGAATTCTGCGAGGAGGATGCTCTGCGTATATGGGAGGCTTGTTGGGCCCGCTACCAGACAGAGTATTTCCACCTTTTTGTCTGTGTTGCCATTGTAGCAATCTACGGAGACGATGTTGTGGAGCAGAGACTGCCAGCAGATGAAATTCTCCTTCACTTCTCCAGTTTGGCTATGCATATGAATGGACAGCTAGTTCTCAGAAAGGTTTGGGCATTTGATTTTTTTTTTGCAGCCAGTGTCATCACCTTCAACATAAACCACTTCTGCCATTAACCATCATGGGGAGGAATAATTTACGATTCAGTGCATGTTATCCGGCACTGGCTATTATCATGCAATAAAAGCTTAAATATTGTCAGTCCATATTTTCGTGGCTGTCCTCTTACTCTTGTAGCTGATCTTCTGACATGCTCTGTGGACGTGATGGTTTTTTTATGTTGCTGCATTCTGATAAGTAGCTATACCACTTGCTCTGCTGTTTTTCAATGAGTCTACTGCATAGTGTTGTTCCCACAGTCTGTCTGATAGTGTTATTATTCATTTGGTCTTGAATGGTTAAGTTGGCGGCTTTTCTCAGGCATCTGATCTTGCAGGTGATGATTTTATGTATATGGGCTTTAGATAATATCCAGGTTTGACGCTGGTAGCGCAATGTTGGTATGAAAATGCTGTCTAAAAATTATTATTTTTTATGTTTTTTTTTTTTTTTTTATTCTCCCGTAAGTATGTTTAAATCGCCTGTAATGATGACAGTTAGAATATAATTGCACTTGCCTTCTGACATCTGGTTTCTATTTCTGTTTCACTTCTGTTCTCTGATCACACTTCCTAGTTATTAAAATTTCCTAACTTGTTTCAAGCCAGAACTGTTCCGCTGTATATGTAATGGAGCAAGGGTTTTACTGATTGCATTGTTTCACTTTTGTTTGCTGTGATCTTCATGTTGAATTTACTGCATGCTGGGCTTAACCTTGGATGCAGACTGAGCACTTAATGTTCCTATGTCGGTTTTAGGGCTCGACCACAAACATTTGATGCTGTTGTAATTGAACTTTCCTTCGGTTTTTTTTTTTTTTTTTTTTTTGGGAGGTGGTCTGCCTTGGGCTCTTCATCCCTGACCTCTTTTGGTGCGTGATTTATATGACGGCATCTAAGAGGACAAGTCATAATATTATACATGTTGATTATTATATTAAATCAGTTGATTCACATGCTAGAAGTTGGTGCTTCGGGGATAGAATAGACTCATTGCTTCTTAACAAGCATATCATAAAATGTGATTAATTAAGGATTTACTAAAATCATCTATTGAATCCAATTATTTTTTGGACCACCAGTGTGCCACCCACCCTTTTGAGGTGAACAAAGAAGAAGAATAGGATTGGTGATGTACTTCAGCACTCTTTTCTTTGCTTCCTCGTGTGGGTTTCTGGGCCCCATTGTGAGGAAAACAAGAATAGAATTCACTGTCTCCTCACCAAGCATCGACTACTTTGGGGCATCCTTCAGAGTCGGAGTACATCTGCCTGAGAGGTTAGGAACCAACAGTCTGCATATAAATATGTCAGATTTTTAAAACTGATGTGCATGCAACACTCAAGTTCTGGAACTGGGCTAAAGTCCAGAGATGGAAAAACAACCAGAACACTGGAGCCAAAATACAATACAGGCACTGTAAACTGCACTGTAATGTGCCAACCTCTCTTATAAGGGTGAACTTATAAGAAGAATAGTAGTTAATGTGGTGACGTGCTTAATCACTCTTTTTTTTTTTTTTTAACAAAAGAAAAACAGACATAGGTTATCCACTCAGAGAGAGTCAGATGTTTGTGTTGATTAAATATAGTATGTTTGAAAGTCAGATGTTCGATAACTAAAGTCAGTTAAGAACTTTTTTTTTTTCAAACGCCACTAGCGCATCAGGAATATGGTGCTAGAGTCATAATTTTATAGACCAGTGAGCACTGATGGGTGATGTGGTCAATAGTCAACATTATGTTGGCAGCCTTCTTTACTTTCTAGGGCTTTACCTGCTGCCTATTTTAGGCTGGGTCAGTCTGGTAGCCAGAGACAATTTTGAAGAAAAAAATTGTTTTGTCTCCATTTGGGTTCTGGTCATCTCTGTAGACAGGAGACACCAGAGACTTGTCTGTTGTTGCATGAATCTCTTCATTCCTAGTAAAACAATGAAGGTAGCTCTTGGTTTTTTTGTGTTTGAAATGTTAGATTTCAGAGGTTACATCTTTGTAGCAGATGGTATATTTGTGCTTGAAATGATAGATTTTGAGGACACATCTTAGTGACACATGGTATATTCTAATTGAAATGTTAGATTTTAAAGATACATCTTGGTAACACATGGTGTATTTGTGCTTGAAATGTTAGATTTTAAAGATACATCTTGGTAACACATGGTGTATTTCTGCTTGAAATGATAGATTTTGAGGACACATCTTAGTGACACATGGTATATTCTAATTGAAATGTTAGATTTTAAAGATACATCTTGGTAACACATGGTGTATTTGTGCTTGAAATGTTAGATTTTAAAGATACATCTTGGTAACACATGGTGTATTTGTGCTTGAAATGTTAGATTTTAAAGATACATCTTGGTAACACATGGTGTATTTGTGCTTGAAATGTTAGATTTTAAAGATGCATCTTGGTAACACATGGTGTATTTGTGCTTGAAATGTTAGATTTTAAAGATACATCTTGGTAACACATGGTGTATTTGTGCTTGAAATGTTAGATTTTAAAGATGCGTCTTGGTAACACATGGTGTATTTGTGCTTGAAATGTTAGATTTTAAAGATGCATCTTGGTAACACATGGTGTATTTGTGCTTGAAATGTTAGATTTTAAAGATGCATCTTGGTAACACATGGTGTATTTCTGCTTGAAATGATAGATTTTGAGGACACATCTTAGTAACACATGGTGTATTTGTGCTTGAAATGTTAGATTTTAAAGATGCATCTTAGTGACACATGGTATATTCTAATTGAAATGTTAGATTTTAAAGATGCATCTTGGTAACACATGGTGTATTTGTGCTTGAAATGTTAGATTTTAAAGATACATCCTGGTGACACATGGTATATTTGTGTTTGAAATGTTAGATTTTAAAGATGCATCTTGGTAACACATGGTGTATTTCTGCTTGAAATGATAGATTTTGAGGACACATCTTAGTGACACATGGTATATTCTAATTGAAATGTTAGATTTTAAAGATGCATCTTGGCAACACATGGTGAATTTGTGCTTGAAATGTTAGATTTTAAAGATACATCTTGGTAACACATGGTGTATTAGTGTTTGAAATGTTAGATTTTAAAGATAATCTTGGTAACACATGGTGTATTTGTGCTTGAAATGATAGATTTTAAAGATACATCTTGGTAACACATAGTGTATTTGTGCTTGAAATGTTAGATTTTAAAGATACATCTTGGCAACACATGGTGTATTTGTGTTTGAAATGTTAGATTTTAAAGATGCATCTTGGTAACACATGGTGTATTTGTGCTTGAAATGATAGATTTTAAAGATACATCTTGGTAACACATAGTGTATTTGTGCTTGAAATGTTAGATTTTAAAGATACATCTTGGTAACACATGGTGTATTTGTGCTTGAAATGTTAGATTTTAAAGATACATCTTGGCAACACATGGTGTATTTGTGTTTGAAATGTTAGACTTTAAAGATACATCTTGGTAACACATGGTGTATTAGTGTTTGAAATGTTAGATTTTAAAGATGCATCTTGGTAACACATAGTGAATTTGTGCTTGAAATGTTAGACTTTAAAGATGCATCTTGGCAACACATGGTGTATTTGTGTTTGAAATGTTAGATTTTAAAGATGCATCTTGGTAACACATGGTGTATTTGTGTTTGAAATGTTAGACTTTAAAGATACATCTTGGTAACACATAGTGTATTTGTGTTTGAAATGTTAGATTTTAAAGATACATCTTGGTAACACATGGTGTATTTGTGTTTGAAATGTTAAACTTTGAAGATATTTGTATATTTCCTTTACCTTTTCCTGTTTACTAACATCATTTCTGTTGTTGTTCATTTTTAGGCGCGTGGTCTTCTACATGAGTTCAGAAAACGATTGAAGATCCCCTGCACTCTGTACAACTTATGCTCTCAGGTGAATGCTGGGATGTGGGACAGTGGACATGCACCTACAGTGGAATGCATTGGTCACCTCGGGGATGATGTTTGTTCATACAACAGCTCTCCAAGTTCTCCCGTCTTCAAGGATGACTGATGTTGAGTTGCTTGTTTGCAGAGATGTGGTTTGAAACTGAATGGTGATATAAATATTCGATGTTGGAGGTCTATTGAAATGTTGTGGAAAGGATTGGCTACATTAAAGTTTGAAACCAATAGGGTAGGATGAGAAATATGGTATGCTGCCTGCAGTTTAGTTGTATCTCTACATTGTCTCTACCTACCCTGTTTGTTCTACCCAGAAGAGGTATGTGTAAGAACAGTTCTCCTTTTTTTCTCTGATCTAATGACTAGTATTGAGTTTATTTTTGGGGAGAGATGGTCTTTAAATGAATGCTGACATAAATGGTTAAACACTAGAGTGTTGATAAAAGTGTATTGATCATCACAGGATAGGCTGCTATAAATGGCTACCTCAGATTACACTATGAAACCAGAAGGATAGTTTTAAGAGCAGTATATGCTGTATGTGGTTTAGTTTTTTTTTTTCTCTTAACTCTACATCATCTACAGCTTTGCTACTTGTTACATAGTTTTACTTGGAATGAAGAAGTATTTGTAAAAACAAGTCTTTTGATCTATCTTTCTGACATAAGTGTTCTCTATCAGAGTGCTGATTTAGAATGTATTGATAACCAAAGCATTGGCTGCATGAGACTATGAAACCATTATGGTAGGGTATGATGTGACAGAAACTTGGACAATGAACATGCAACTAGAAAATCAAATTGAGTCTTTGGAATGTGCATATACAGAAGAATAGGTCCTGTTTCCTGGAAACATAACATTAAGAGACAGGGGTTTTAGGGAGACTACGAATGAAAAAGAGAATCACTGAAAGAAATTTAAAAAAGAGATAATTGAAATATTTAAGCCACATTTAATACATAAAACTCTTTGAAAACCACACTGGAGGGAAAGGTCGAGAGCAAGAGGTAAACAGTGATATAAGTTGGAGGACAAAATCAGGACAGTCTGGGTGAATGTACAAACAAGACATGAGAGAGAGCATGTTTGTAGACAATTTTCACTGATGAAACAGCACCTGACTGATTGATTGATTGATTGACGATGTGTGGGGTTTAGTTTGGACTGTACCCTGTATGTGTTATATTTTTATTTGAAGTGAAGATATATTTGGAACAACAGAGGGACACAGTCTTTAGACTTAAGGTACAAATAGATGTTTCTGACATGAATATATAAGCTGGAGACCTATAAAGAGAGTTTAGTTTGATGCGATATGTAATATGTTAGCATCAAAAAAGAATGTGTAATTTCTTATGAGGACCTTCATGGAATATGTTGTTCTAGTTGAGACTATTGAACTGTTCACGTGGTAAAGATTGGGCTTAAATATACTGGTGTCTAGAGTTTGAACCTGGATGACTGTTCTTACTGTGTTAACTCTTTCAGTCCTAAACAGTTTTTACTTTAACCCATTTTAACCCAAACTGATGTGAACTCATTCCATCCCAAGCTGATATTACTTGAAACTGATGTTTGGTCTAAAGGGGGTTGAAATAATAATATTTTTAAGTTTAGACAGGAGTTAAAGTAATGATACAGTGATCACATGTGTGAAAAAAACAGTTGACAGAAGAACAAAATAATACAGGGAAATCAGGTTAGAAGTAACCAGTTAACTGTTTAATTCTCAGACCTGTGTTTTTTAACTCATTCTGTTCAATTCCAAGTTGACATTATTTGAAACAAATAAGTATTGAGTCTAAAAGAATTTTAAAAGTCTTATTTAGCATAATGAGTTAAAGTAATGATTCCAAGGTTATGTGGATGAATGTCACAATCGAATGAGGAAATGAATGAATGAACGAAGGAACTTTATCTTAACTAATAACTCTAAGATCAAGTGGGCAAATATAACAAGTAAATGAGGGACACGAACAAACTTTATTTAGAAGGAACATGAGCTGTATCAGGTTTGAAGTTACTAGATGATTGTCTGTCCCATTTAAGTATGATGTGTTACTGACTGGCCTCAGTGAATCCCAGTCAGTGCACAGTGTGTTCTGTAGCTGTTTACATTTGATCAGAGGATGCTAAAAAATCTGGCCCTTCTGGCAGATACTTCATAATTATTCTTAATGGTTATTTCCACCCACAGGCATCTGCCGGGAAAACTAGCTAGGGCTGAAAGAGTTAATGCATGGTGGACTGTCTGAATGTCATGTGAGTTAAACAACACCTCACTTTTAAATCATGTAATGTTGTTGCAAGTTGTAACAATCTTTTGTCACGATCTGTTGACTATTGACGTGCAGTTCAGTGGAAACAAATGACAAAATCATCATCCTAAACCATCAATAACATCAACACATCATTTTAAATATATATACTTTATTTTATTTGAGTCAGTATAAAGTATTGCAGATTCCAAGCCATAACAACAAACTAAACAATGTTAGAGATATGTTTATGATTACATTTTGTCACCATCAACTTAGATTTCATCAAATTTCATTTTTTCATCACTTATTTGATCACTGGAGATCACTATCTTTAATATGCCTTTACTGATTTGTTTTCTTTTGAATTAAAAATGTGCAATATACAGAAGATGATATATTTTATAAAATGAACACAATACATAAATGCATTTAAACTCTGCAAAGGGTTGTACACTTGAAACCAGTTTTTCTTTTTGGTTTATTCAGTTGTAATTCTATTTTTTCATTGTTTGTTCAGTTTATAGTTTTAAAGAATGTTTCTTCAGGTTGGATATATCACAAATAAGATTTGTAATTTACATTTCCTGTTTGTATTTTTGTTTTTCAAAATAGGGTGAATTTACAGTATTTCTCTGTATATAAGAGGATATATTCCCAAATTTTTAAGTTTAAAATTGGGGGTCATCTTATACATGGAGTATGTTTAAAATATTTATTTCTTACTTTGGGATAACAAAAATAGGTGTTGTCTTATACACAAGGGTGTTGTATAAGTGAGCAAGTAAAAGTAAAATAAAGGACCCTTTTCCAGGCCTTTAGGCGTATAGGGCTAGATCTATATTTTATAAACCAATCGGCACAAGATGGGGGATGTGGTCAGCATCGCGCTGCTGCCTTTACTTCCCGGGACAGTACCTGGTACCCACTCAAGGATGGAAGTCAAGGTCATTTTTGAAAAAAGTAGCTCCGCCAGGGAGCAAACCCACAACCTTCAGATCAGCACGCAAGCGTCTAGCCGCTATGCCACGGCGACTCCCATACACGGAATATGTTTAAAATATTTATTTCTTACTTTGGGCTAACAAAAATCGGAGCTGTCTTATACACAAGGGTGTTGTATACAAGGAAAAATACAGTATATAGCAAGTACTGCCTTTAAGGTGTCACATTTTTGACCTAAACGTGTTTTAGATCATTGCATAATGAGGTATAAGGGGTCAATTCACTTCCTCACTGCATTTTATTTTACCAGATTATTCTATACAATCATTTGTTTTCCCTCTGTGCTGAAGTTTTGACATTCTTGTCTTGATAAGCAAGTAAATAACTACTATGTTACTATGGCTTCAGGTGTATATATAGGTAGCACCCACCTTAAATGTATGGCAATAATAACCCCACCTCCCAACTTTTAAACAAAAATAGTGATTGAAAAGAGGACAAAATAAAACAGTACAAGCACTGTTAACAAGAACTTGGAGCCTGGCTTGCTAGCACAGTTGGTTAAACCTGATTTTGCAGCGACCAGATGATGAAAAATATATATGTGTGTGTGTGTGTGTGTATATATATATATATATATATATATATATATATATATGATATCTTGTATAGGGGTATCTATTTAACCACATGTTAAAGTGCTCTTGTGGTTTCTACATTATGATGGGAGCAGGTAGCAGTCTTCATCTGTCGTTAAAAGGGCAGTATGCCTGCTGTGCTGTGGTTTACAGCTAGGCTGCAATATATGCGCCTTTCAGCCCAATACATCCAAATTCACCAGATCCCTAATTAGTTGCCGTTTACAACATTATTATTAGGGGCTCGTGGGTCCAATTCCCCCCCCCCCCCCCCCCCCCATGGGAACCCGGAACCCTCTTAGGTTCCTCTTAGGTAACAGTAAACTAACACATAAGATATGATAGGAGAGGAAGGGGGGAGTAAAAGTGTCATTGATTCCTCTTATGCACAGCAGCATTCAAATATTGTGTTCTGAAATCATTCGCCAAATATTTGTTTTTGCTATTCCTTTTTGGGGATATTATGTTAACATCTCATGGTTATGTGTGTTATATTGTATTTGTTTATTTTTTGTGCCACATTTGCACAATCTTGTTCCCCACCCACACTTTATGTTTTGCAATTTAATTGTTGTTGTAATGACAATAATCTTGTCTGCTTTCATGCACTTTACATTGTTATCAGGTTATATCATTTTTTTTTTTTTTCAATTACTGGAACACAGAAGATTTCCTGTTTTTTTTTTTTTTTTTTAGCAAGGTGTAGTATTAATTTACTTTTCATTATTGTTTGATTTTGTTACCTGCTTTAATCTAGAGCTGAGGTTTTGGAGAAGAATCCGTGGAATGTTTTCGACAGCCAAAAAAGAGCAACCTGGATGTTTTGAAAGAAGGATGGGCTCCATTAAAACTTATTACAAACTTCAAAATGAGACAATTATAATTTTTTGGGGGGGGTCATGTTATGAGAACAAGGAAACCGCTGTGACTGCTGACAAGATCTGTGGTAACATAGACAGAGGAAGACAACAAGAGATGATTCTTGACAACCTTTTCTCATGACATGGAGAGATGTCAACACATGAACTGATGAATGCTGTTGAAGGTGACAGATTGTGGAGAGACATGATCGCCTACGCCAGTTGACAGGGCACTTGATGACGATTATTTGCTTTCATGTGTATATTTGCACTTCCTAGAATACAGAAATCCTCCTGGGTTTATTTTGAGCCATACATAGTATTAATTAGACATTATAGACTTTTAATGAAAAATTGCCTGCTCTGATTCATTCGAAATTGTCCTTTTCTTTTTCATTTGCCTATCAG